TACACAGAATGATGTTACTGTTCTCCCCACTGAAGTAATTCAACGCGATTCCAACTGAAATCCATGGGAATTTCTGAAAAACTTAGTAAACTTACTCCAGTATTTATATGCAGAAGTACATTTCAAAATGAGCAAAGTCGATATATAAAAAGAAGAATAAAGAATGGGGCTTGGGCAGGGCATGGTGGCTCACGCCTGTAATCCCAGCACTTTGGGAGGCCTAGGTGGGTGGATCACCTGAGGTCAGGAGTTCGAGACCAGCCTGACCAAAATGGTGAAACCCCAGCTCTACTAAAAATACAAAATTAGCCAGGCGTGGTGGTACAGGCGGTGCATGCCTATAGACCCAACTACTTGGAAGGCTGAGGCAGGAGGATCGCCTGAACCCGGGAGGCAGAGGTTGCAGTGAGCCAAGATTGTGACACTGCACTCCAGCCTGGGCAACAGAGTAAGACTTCAACTCCAAATAATAATAATAATAAGGCTTGCTCTACCAGATATCAAGACATACTATAAGACTACAGTAATCAGACCAGGCACGGTGGCTCACGCCTGTAATCTCAGCACTTTGGGAGGCTGAGGTAGGTGGATTGTTTGAGGTCAGGAGTTCAAGACCAGCCTAACCAACATAGCGAAACCCCATCTCTACTAAAAATACAAAAAAATTGGCAGGGCACAGTGGCTCATGCCTGTAATCCCAGCACTTTGAAAGGCTGAGGTGGGTGGACCAGCGGAGTTTGGGAGTTCGAGACCAGTATGACCAACATAGAGAAGCCCCGTCTACGCTAAAAATACAAAATTAGCCAGGCGTGGTAGCCCATGACTGTAATCCTAGCTGCTCAGGAGGCTGAGGGAGAATAATTGCTTGAACCCGGAGGCAGAGGCTGTGGTGAGCCAAGATTGTGCCATTGCACTCCAGCCTGGGCAATAAGAGGGAAACTCTGTCTCAGAAATAAAATAAAAATTTAAATTAAAAAAATATATATATATAGCCAGGTGTGGTGGTGCTCGCCTGTATTCCAGCTACTCCCGAGGCTGTGGCAGGCTAATTGCTTGAACCTGGGAGGCAGAGGTTGCTGTGAGCTGAGATGACCACTGCACTCCAGCCTGGGCAACAGAATGAAACTCCCTCTAAAAAACAAATTTAAAAAGTTTCTAATCTACAGTAATCAAAACAGTATGGCATGGGTGTAAGAACAAAGAGACCAGGACCGATCCAAGATGGCCGATCGCTAACATCCCGGGATTGCAGCTCTCAGTGAAGGCGCGGAGAACTAGAGGACGCCACACTTTCAGACAAATTCTGGTCGCTCACGGAGCAGAAGATCCACGACTTTCGTGGCCGGCGCAGCGGTTCCACCGGCGCCTCGGCGCGGCAGCTCTCGGAGCAGAGTAAACAGGTTTGGAAGACCCACAAGGGCCCCCAGCACGACACCAGAGCCCGGAGCAGCGGCTGTGATGGCACCTCGGCGGGGCAGCGCTTGGAGCAGAGGCGCAGAGTAAGCGGGACCGGCTCCCCTTCTGACCGAGGTTTGGAGCCCCGGGAAGGCAGAGTCACCCACTATGGACACAAGAAGGAAGCCAGACAAGAGAATCCTGGGCAGAAAAGCACCATCAGTTTTAACGCTGCTGCTCTGGCTCTGGGAACTAACAACCTGGACGCCCACTCAAGAGACCTAATCTGAAAGTTGGTAAATTCAAAGACCACAGGAGGATAAATTTACAATGACGGGAAGAAACCAGCGTAAAAAAGCTGAGAATACTCAAAGTCAGAACGCCTCTCCCTCTAAAGATGATCACAGTTCCACATCAACAATGGAACAAGGCTTGATGGAGAACGAGTGCATCCCAATGCTAGAATATCACTTCAGGGAATGGATAATAACAAACTTCTGTGAGTTAAAAGAACATGTTGTAGCCCAACCTAAAGAAACTAGGAACTTTGAAAAAAAGTTTGATGAAATCCTATTGAGAATAGACAACTTAGAGAGGAGTATGAGTGAAATAATGGAACTGAAGAATACAATACAGGAACTCCGAGAAGTTTGCACAAGTTTAAACACTCGAATTGTTCAAGCAGAAGAAGGGATATCAGAGGTCAAAGTCCAATTTAATGAAATAAAACGCAAAGAAAAGATTAGAGAAAAAAGGATAAAAAGGAATGAGCAAAGTCTCCAAGAAATGTGGGACTATGTGAAAAGACCAAATCTATGTTTGATAGGTGTACCTGAATGTGACGGAGAGAATGAATCCAAGCTGGAAAATACCCTTCAGCATATTACTCAGGAAAATTTTCCTAAACTAGCAAAGCAGGTCAGTATTCAACCCCAGGTAATACAGAGAACACCACAAAGATATTCCTCAAGAAGAGCAACCCCAAGGTACATAATCGTTAGATTCACTAGGGCTGAAACAAAGGAGAAAATACTAAGGGCAGCCAGAGAGAAAGGTCAGGTTACCCATAAAGGCAAGCCTATCAGACTTACAGCAGATCTCTCAGCAGAAACTCTACAAGCCAGAAGAGAGTGGGGGCCAATATTCAACATCCTCAAAGAACAGAACCTTCAGCCCAGAATTTCATATCCAGCCAAACTAATCTTCACAACTGAAGGAAAAATAAAATCTTTTATGAACAAGCAAGAACTCAGAGATTTTATTACCACCAGGCCTGCCTTACAAGAGCTTCTGAAAGAAGCATTACACACAGAAAGGAACAACCAGCCCTTCTAAAAATATACCAAAAAGTAAAGAGCACCAACATAAAGAAGAATTTACACCAACGAATGGATAAAACAGCCAGTTAACATCAAAGGGCAGTAACCCTAAATTTAAATAGACTAAATCCCCCAATCAAAAGACACAGCCAAAACCCAACGACATGTTACATCCAGACCCATTTCACATGCAAGGATACACAAAGACTCAAAACAAAGGGATGGAAAAAGATTTACCAACCAAATGGAGAGCAAAAATAAATAAATAAATAAATAAATAAATAAATAAAAAGCAGGAGTTGCAATTCTCATATCGGATAAAATAGATTTTAAAGCAACAAAGATATAGTGGTAAAAGGATCAATGCAACAACAAGAGTTAACGATCCTAACACCCAGATATATAGAGACTTAGACACAATGAGACAGAAAATTAATAAGAATATCAAGGACTCGAACTCAGATCCAGAACAAGTAAACTTAATAAATATTTATAAGCTCTCCACTTCAAATACACAAAATAAACGTTCTAGTCAATACCACATCACACGTACTCATAGGTTTAAATGAAACATTGATTGGCCATTTTAATACCCATTTTTTTTTAAGGATAAAGCAATATTTCCACTCACTCTCCCTCTTTCTCTTCCTCTTTCTTCCTCTCCTTTACTCATTTTTTTCTTCTTTCCTTCACTCAAAAAAAAAAAAAAAAAAAAAGAAATCAACTTGTAAACCTCTAGATCCAGGTCAGCAATGCCTCTCTCATTGCTTGAATTCCTTCCTTCCCTTCCCTCCCTCCCTCCCTCCCTCCCTCCCTCCCTCCCCCTTCCTCCCTTCCTTCATCCCTCCCTTCCTCAAAAAAAAAAAAAAAAAAAGAACAAAGAGACCAAAAGAGAACCTGACCCACAATGTAACATAAATGAGAACATCAGGTGTGTAAATGTGGCATCACCATCACTGAAGCAGGGACAGAGCATGTTTCATAGGTAATGCTGGAAAGACTGGCTCGCTGTATGGAGAAAAATGAAAACCATGTTCCGATAAAACAGTATGTACAGGGTGAATTCTGGACGGATTAAAGACCTACATAAAAATAAAATGACACAACTAATAGAAAACAATGGTGTAGAAAATGTCTGTCACTTAGGGGTGGGAAAGGACGAAAAGCTTCAAAAGAACAAATTATTCTTGCAAAACATCAATAATTTTGATTACGTAAAAATTAAGTATTTTGTCTACAGGAAACCTGTTAATTACAAAGGAAAAAATAGTAATTTACAGCGTAGAAACCTGGCAGACATTACCTTAACCAAGTAATCGAAGTTAGCATCAGCAGTAATGGGACAAATTGGCATCACATGCCTCCTGATAAGATGCACTGAGAAGGAACAGCCTCATTTACACAGTGTTCCAGTGTTAGCCGGAATCTAATCATGAGGAAACACCAGACTAGCCGGAAATTAATAAATGTCCTATACTCTTCCAAAATGTCAAGGTCATGAAAGACAAAGACCAAAGAATTGTTCCAAATAAAAGGACACCAAAATAGATGTGACAACTAAATGCAGTATGAGATCCTGAATTGGATCCTGAACCAAAATACTTTTTCTCTCCTTCCCCTCTTTCCCCCTCCTTCCCCTCCTTCCCCTCCCTCCCTCCCTCCCTCCTTCCTTTCCTCCCTCCCTCCCTCCCTCTCATTCTATCCCCCAGGCCGAAGGCTGGAGTGCTGTGCCAGGATCGAAACTCACTGCAACCTCCAGAGACGGAGTTTCCCCATGTTGGCCAGGCTGGTCTCGAACTCCTGACCTCAAGTGATCCGCCTGCCTCAGCCTCCCAAAGTGCTGGGATTACAGGCATGAGCCACCACACCTGGCCTAGAACCGTGCCTTTTTTAGGACAGAGACTTGCTGTTGCCCAGTCTGGACGAGGTGGTGAGATCATAGCTCATTGCAGCCTTGGGCTCAAGTGGTCCCTCTGCGCCTGCCTCTTGAATAACTGGGACCTGCCTCTTGTGCGCCACCACATTCAGCTACATGCAGGCTTTCCGATGCCCGGTTCTGCAGACATGGAGGCTATGGGGGCTCTCTTTGGGTGATCATCCTGAGGAAGGCCTGGAATATTTATGTGCATGTGTGTAAGTGTGTGTCTCAAGGAGGCTCCAGGCTGCTGACCCCAGAGCCAGCTCTCATGAAATAACACCTCTTAGGTCCATAGGACTTTACAAAAATTTTTATTATGTTTACATAGGACCTTGTTTCTTTCTTTTTTCTTTTTCTTTTTTTTTCACCTCTGAACTTTTTATTGGCCTCCTGCTCCCCCAAGGGTCCCCCACTTCTGCTGGCCTAATGTCTCAGAACTTTGGTGGTGTTGGTCTCAGACACCACTTTGCCATCCACTATCCAGCGGGTGATCTTCTTTTGGATGGTTTGCATGGAGTTGCTGCTGTCCAAGGCATCACTAAGACTAAAGTCCTCGCCATCTTCCAGCAGGCGGCGGTAGGTGGCAATCTCAGCCTCCTGCTTGACCTTGATGTTCAGAAGAGCCTCATACTCCTGGGCCTGGCACTGTCCCTCTGCCCGGGTCTGTGCCAGCTCTGACTCCAGGTGCAGCAGGATCCCGTTGAGCTGCTCCATCTGCAGGGCGTAGCGGACCTCCACCTCCCTCAGGCTGTTCTCCAAGCTGATCTTCGTATTTCTCATGGAGTCCAGGTCGATCTCCAAGGACTGGACTGTACGTCTCAGCTCTGTGAGCGTCATCTCAGCAGCTTCAACCTCAGTGGACCGTGTGGTGACTATTGTGGTAGTCTGCTCAGTCAGCTGAGTCCAGTACTTGTCCAGCTCCTCTTGGTTCTTCCGAGCCAGCTCGTCATATTGAGCCCAGATTTCTGCCATGATCTTAGCGAGGTCCTGAGATTTGGGGGCATCTACCTCCACGGTCAACCCAGAGCTGGCAATCTGGGCGTGTAGGCCTTTTACCTCCTCTTCATGGTTCTTCTTCATGAAGAGCAGCTCCTCCTTGAGAGCCTCGATCTCTGTCTCCAGCTGCAGCCAAGTGACATTGGTGTCATCGACGACCTTGCGGAGACCACGGATGTCGCTCTCCACAGACTGGCGCACGGCCAGCTCTGTCTCATACTTGACTCTAAAGTCATCAGCAGCAAGACGGGCATTGTCAATCTGCAGAACGATGCCAGCATTGTCCACAGTATTTGCGAAGATCTGAGCCCTCGGGTCCTCGATGGTCTTGAAGTAATGGCCCCAGTCTCTGACCTGGGGTCCCTTCTTCTCCAGGTGCTCCCGGATTTTGCTCTCCAGCTTCCGGTTCCCGGTCTCCAGGCTCCTGACTCTGTCCAGGTAGGAGGCCAGGCAGTCGTTCAAGCTTTGCTTGGTCTCCTCGTTCTGGATGCCTCCCATTCCTGCCAGACCCCTGGCCATCCCCGCGGCCAGGCCCCCGACCCCCATGCCGCTCCGGAAGCTGGTGCAGCGCATCACAGAGATGTGGGAACCAGAGCCCCTGACGCCTGCACAGACACTGGCCGCGCTGCTGACCGACCATGGACCGGTAGTTGGTGGAGAAGGTGGAGCGAGTGGTGAAGCTCGTGCGAGAGGACAGGACTCAGGCTTTGCCGACGACCAGGACCTTGTTTCATTCAATCCCTCCTATAACTGAAAGAATCAGGCAAGACAAACTTTTTTTTTTTTTTTTTTTTTTTGAGACGGAGTCTTGCTCTATCGCCAGGCTTGAGTGCAGTGGCGCAATCTCGGCTCACTGCAACCTCCGCCTCCTGGGTTCAAGCGATTCTTCCGCCTCAGACTCCCGAGCAGCTGGGACCACAGGCACATGCCACCATGCCCGGCTATTTTTTTGTGTTTTAAATAGAGACGGGGTTTCACCATGTTGGCCAGGATGGTCTCGATCTCTTGACCTCGTGATCCGCCCACCTCGGCCTCCCAAAGAGCTGGGATTACAGGCATGAGCCACTGTGCCTGGCCTTTTTTTTTTTTTTTTTTTTTGAGACTAAGTCTTGCTCTTTTCGCCCAGGCTGGAGTGCAATGGCTCGACCTTGGCTCACTGCAACCTCCGACACCCAGGTTCAAGCGATTCTCCTGCCTCAGCCTCCCGAGTAGCTGAAATTACAGGTGCCTGCCACCAAGCCCCCAGCTAATTTTTTGTATTTTTAGTAGAGACAGGGTTTCACCATGTTGGTCAGTTTGGTCTCAAACTCCTGACCTCAGCTGATCCTCTCACCTCGGCCTCCCAAAGTGCTGGGATTATAGGTGTGAGCCACTGTGCCAGGTTGTTTTTTTTTTTTGAGACAATCTTGCTCTGTCATTCAGGCTGGAGTCAGGGGCACAATCTTGGCTCATTGCAACCTCTGCCTCCCAAGTTCAAGCGATTCTCCTGCCTCAGCCTCTTGAGTAGCTGGGATTGCAGGTAGACGCCACGACGCCCAGCTAATTTTTGTACTTTTAGTAGAGACGGGGTTTCACCATGTTGGTCAGGCTGGTCTCTTAACTGCTGACCTCATGATCTGCCCACCTTGGCCTCCCAAAGTGCTGGGATTACAGTCATGAGCCACTGCACCCAGCCAAGACAAACTGTTATGCCCATTTTATAGATAAGAATGATTTACTCCAAGAGAGGTGTACTTGCCTAAGACCATCAGTTGTAGAGCTGGGCTAACCCCAGTGCATGACTCTTCCATGAATTGTGAGTTATTTATTGAGACAGGGTATTGTTCTGTCCCCCAAGCTGGAGTGCAGTGGCACGATCATAGCTCACTGCAGCCTCAACCACCTGGGCTGAAGTGATCCCACCTCAGCCCCACATGTAACTGGCACTACGGGCGCACACCACCACACCTGGCTAATTTTTGTATTTTTTTTTTTTGAGACAAGGTTTTGCCATGTTGCCCAAGCTGGTCTTGAACTCCTGGGCTCAAGTGATACACCCAACTTAGCCTACCAAAATTCTGGGATGACAGGTGTGAACCACTGCGCCCAGCCCCATTTACTTCATGAACAATGAACTACTCGCTGAGCACCTGCCATGTGTCAGCCACTGTGCAGGAACCCCCACTCACTGACTTGCTCTCCTGAGAGAAGTGTGTTCAAGCCCCCTGCCCCTGCCACTAAGGATGAGTTTCAAGCAATGGAATTAACAAGCCATGACTCTTCTGCACATTAATAGCCAGGTGGCAGCATAGTGTGGCAGTAAGAGCTGTGCTGTGGCCGGGCGTGGTGGCTCACACCTGTAATCCCAGTACTCTGGCAGGTGGATCACAACGTCAGGACTACAAGACCAGCCAGGCCAAGATGGTGGAACTCTGTCTCTACTAAAAATACAAAAATTAGCTGGGCGTGATGGTGTGCACCTGTAATCATAGCTACTTGGGAGGCTGAGGCAGGAGAATCACTTGAACCTGGGAGGCGGAGGTTGCAGTGAGCCGAGATTGCACCACTGCACTCCAGCCTGGGCGACAGAGAGCAAGACTCCGTATCAAAAAAAAAAAAAAAAAAAAGTGGGGGGGGGCATGCTCTGGGCCGGGTGCAGTGTCTCATGCCTGTAATCCCAGCACTTTGGGAGGCCGAGGCAGGAAGATCACGAGGTCAGGAGTTCAAGACCAGCCTGTCAATATGGTGAAACCCTGTCTCTACTAAAAATACAAAAAAAAAAAAAAAAAAAATTAGCTGGGCATGGTGGTGCACACCTGTAATCCCAGCTATTTGGGAGGCTGAGGCAGGAGAATTGCTCAAACTTGAGAGACAGAGGTTTCAGTGAGCTAAGATCTCACCACTGCACTCCAGCCTGGGTGACAGTGAGACTCCGTCTTGGAAAAAATAAACAAAAAAAGACCTGTGCTCCTTGGCAAGGTGCGGTGGCTCATGCCTGTAATTGCAGCACTTTGGGAGGCAAAGGTGGGTGGATCACCTGAGGTCAACAGTTCGAGACCAGCCTGGCCAATATGGTGAATCCCCGTCTCTACCAAAAATACAAAGATTAGCCAGGCATGCTGCCAGGCGCCTGTTTTCCCAGCTACTGGGGAGGCCAAGGCAGAAGAATCGCTTGAACCTGGGAGGTGGAGGTTGCAGTGAGCCAAGATCGCACCACTGCACTCCAGCCGAGGCAACAGCGAGACTCTGCCACACACACACACACACACACACACACGAGCTGTGCTCGAGTCAGACTGGCCTGGAGTCCCAGCCCTGCCACCCAGTATGTCAACTCCCTGTATTTCCTCATGTACAAAACAAGGGTGTAATAATTGTGCCAGTCACATAGGGCTGTTGTGAGGATTGACTGAGTTAATAGAGGCAAAGCACGAACAACCCTACCATTACACAGTAAGAGCCTCGTAAACATGAACAGTTAGGACTCTAAAGTTCCTTAGCATTGTGTTGAAACAAGGGGAGTTAAAAAAAACGGGGAATAAAGAAGGCCCTGGCCAAGCATGGTGGCTCACACTGGTAATTCCAGCACCTTGGGAGGCCAAAGTGGATGAATCACTTGAGGCCAGGAGTTTAAAACCAACGTAGGCAACATAGTGAGACCCTGTCTCTACAAAAAATTTTAAAAATTAGCAGGGCGTGATGGTGCGTGCCTGTAGTCCCAGCTACTGGTGAGTCCGAGGCTGCAGTGAGCTATAATTGTGCCACCACACTGCAGCCTGAGCCACAGAGTGAGATCCTGTCTCCAAAAAAAGGGCTCTTTTCAGGCCAGGTGTGGTGGCTGATGCCTCTAATCCCACCACTTTAGGACGCTGAGGCGGGCAGATCACCTGAGGTCAGGAGTTCGAGACCAGCCTGGCCAACATGGTGAGACTCCATCTCTACTATACATACAAAAATTAGCCAGGTGTGGTGGCGCTCAACTGTAATCCCAGCTACTCAGGCAGTTGAGGCAAGAGAATCACTTGAATCGGGAGTCAAAGGTTGCAGTGAGCTGAGATTGTGCCACTGCACTCCAGCGTGGGTGACAGAGTGAGACTCCGTCTTAAAAAAAAAAAAAAAAATCCTCTCCCAAGGCCATGCCTCCTGTTGGTGGCAGCTGGCACCCAAAGGCTGAGCACTTGTGAAACTGAGAGCCTGACTAACTTGCCCTGACTTAGGACAACCCCACAGAGCTCAGCCAGCTCCAGAGCATGGCCGCAGTGCACACTGGGCTGGGATTGCTGCCCAGCCTCTCCCTCTGCTCCAGTCTGTCTCCTGTGCCTGCTTTCTTCCTGGGTGTCGCTCCCAGGGGCACCCCCAATAAATGCCCGGCATGTTGGTCTCTCCAAGCTGCTTCCCACAGAACCCAACCTACGACAGGCACAGCAGATGCAGAGATGAGTAAGCCACGGTCTGGCCTTCAAGAATGTCAAGGCCGAATGAAACTGCAATCCCATATGGCTCGCTTGGGTAAGCACACCAAGTAGTGGAGGGGCTGGAATTGAGGGAGTCCAGGCCCTGCTGGGAACCAGCCGGGTTGCCTGAGGTGTTGGTGAGTGCAGTCCAGCCAGGAGAAAGAGGGAGCCCAGGATTTCAGTGAAGATTCTGTGGACTGAGGCCTGATGTCAGCAGCTGTGGAGACAGCTCCCCACCTATGTGGGGTTTTCGAGTGAAGGGGGGCTACCGTGATGCACTGACCACAGTGAACAGGAGTGACCTGCCACCTGCCACTCCAGGGTCCTCTCTCTCCCGTCTCTGTCCTGTGCTTTCTGAAACGGAGCTGGCTGACAGTTTTCCATCCTTCAAGACAACTATCTTCTGCTGACTCCTCTCTCCCATCCAAAAGTAAGGCCTTTCTCAGCGCTCCACTTCCTTGACCCTGCCTCCCCAAAGTCCTGCAGCGTAGGCTCGTGTGGCCACATGCAGGCTGCTCACACAACTTCCACGGAATCATAAAATTGGAAGCCTCCACGGAGGCCCATCTAGGGCTGCCTCCTACCGCCGAGAGGGCCCTTCTCCAAAGCCTGGCAGGGCTGAACAGTCCCAGTGACTGTTCACACTGGTGAATTCCAGCACCTGGGAGGCCACGTGGCGAAACTTTGTCTCTACTAAAAAAAATACAAGAATTAGCTGGGTGCTGTGGTAATTGCCTGTAATCCCAACCGTTTGAGAGACTAAGGCTTGAGCCTGGCAACCCTCGGAAGACAGCCTGAGCTATGCAAGTTTTCCTTCCTTTGAGCCGAAACTGCTCTCTTTGGAGTCACTCAGAAAAACATCACTTCATTCCCGTATGACAGTCCTTCAAATCAGACTGGTCACATAAACATCAGTTTTTGAGTGCTTATATATTGTTCTTACCAGCAAATCCTCACAACAGTCCTATAAAGAAGCCAAGTAGGTGTTCAAAAAGGTTGGGGAATTTGTTGTGGTTACCTTCTGCTACCCGCAACAGAGCTGTGGTCTGATACTAGACTCAACTTCAACTCCAGTGCTCTTGAAGCACAAAAGCAGATTTGGCGTTACAGAACCCTCCAGCTGCATTTCCAAGGACTCCAAGGGGTTGAGAGACTCCTCCCAGGGCTCACCGCTGGTGATGGGCTCAGAGGCTGAAGCCTGGCGAGCAGGCAGCCACGGATCCTACAATGGATGGCTCCCCAGACACCCACCTGCAGGTCTCAAGTTGGGAGAGAATCATGCGGGCAGCGAACAAGTTCTCTGGAGTGCTGAGCTGAGTGTGCCCATGGCCACAGATGGGAGGAGGAACGCCGAGGAGGCAGGCATATCACGGGTTCTTCTGCCAGCTTCCCCAAGCCACTGCCTGCTCTGTGGTCAGTCTTTTATCTTGCTTTAACCCCCAAAATAGGGCTCTCTCCCTGGAGACCCATACCACGATACCCTCAGCCGCTCAGTTAAGATTCTTTGGTCAAGCTTTTTCTTGAGACGGAGTCGTGCTCTGTTGCCCAGGCTGGAGAGCAGTGGCTCAATTTCAGCTCACTGCAACCTCCGCCTCCCAGGTTCAAGCTACTCTCCTGCCTCATCCTCCTGAGTAGCTGGGACTACAGGCGCATGCCACCACACCTGGCTAATTTTTGTATTTTTAGTAAATGAGGCTCCCTCATGTGGGCCACGCTGGTCTTGAACTCCTGACCTCAGATGATCCACCCACCTTGGCCTCCCAAAGTGTTGGGATTACAGGCGTGAACCACTGCTCCTTGCCTGGCTGAGCTTTTTGACTACAATCGGCACAAAGGCAGCAAGTTCCTTCTGCTGACTGGTTCTTTTGTTGTCACTGAGAGCAAAGCAGTACGTCCATTTTATTTTTTTCTTTCGACAGAAGTGGTCTTGCTAAGTTTCCTAGGCTGGCCTCAAACTCCTGGGCCTAAGCAATCCTCCCACCTCGGCCTCCCCAGTAGCTGGGACTACAAGTGTGCACCACTGTGCTCAGCTCAGATCCTTCCATTTTAACATCCTCTGCATAACAATTACATGTAACAGTCAATTCCTCAAGAAATAACATGTATAAAGGATACTACCTCTGCACAACATCTCTCCCACCTTCAAGATTGCTTCATTTGAAAACACAGTGTTCTATTTCTTCCTGCTAGACCCTGTCCTAAATTCCCTATTTCCCAGGCCCCTCCTATGTGGTTAGAGGAAATATAAAGAACATGCAATCACCCAAACAAAGTAAGGACAAAGATGGTTTCTCTTCAGTGCTGAGTCTAGAGATCAGAGAGCAGGGAAGCCGGAGCCAGACGCCACTGGAGAAAGCAGCTGGCTGTGTGAGGCCAGGTTACAGTCAGTTCAACTGCCCAAGCAGCGGGGCTGTGGCCGTGGAACCCAAAACCCCTTCGGCTGAGGCTGGGCCCAGGCCAGGGCTGACAGCACCATGATGCCGACACACTGCCCCGCATTCCGCTGGCTCGGCCCACCCCAAAGTCAGGCAGGCAGACGACCTCAATGCCCCAGCAGCCGGACAGTGTCTCTTCTAGAGGCAAGGTTGGTGCTGCCACTGCTTCCTCCATGTGAGTGATGCAAGTGCCATAGAAAATGCCAAGCAGAGAGTCCACACCCCTCAACAGTAGGCACCCACCGCCAGGGAGCAGCAGAGAAGAGGCAAATGAGACGCAGGGAGAGATTTAATTTACATAGCAGCCACTTGGGGTCCAGTCAGAGCTGGGGCAGTGGGGGCATCTATAACCCTGGAGGGCACCCCCCCAGACCCCGCACCCTGGGAGACCAGTCCTCACCAACCCCTGGATGGGCTCCCAAGGTTGTACAGAAGATGCTCCAGTTGAAAGGAGAGAGACATTTGGGAATAAGGCTGTCCCCAAGTCGGGGGAAGTTCATGGCCTGGAGTTGGTTGCCTACGTGGTGGCCCAGGGGTCTGAGACAGTCCATGTCCTGGGCAAGTCCTCAGCCTGGTGGCCCTAGAGGAAACCTTCACGGCGGAACTGCTCTTGGAGAAGGGCGCGGTACTGGTCAAATCCTCCTTCCACGCGGGTGACGCCGCCTCCCTCGCACACCCACAGCTCCCGGCACACCAGCCTGATGAAGCGCTCGTCGTGGGACACCAGAATCACGCCACCCTGAAAGACAGGAGAATGGGAGGTGCTCGGCGGGCACCCCGAGGCAATGAGGCCTGGGGAGGAGTGGTCAGGGTGAAGGCATGCTCACTCTGAAACTGTTGAGGGCACGGCCCAGAGCCTCGATGGTCTCCATGTCCAGGTGGTTTGTGGGTTCATCCAGAATGTAGAAGTTGGGGCTGGAAGGCAGAACCCAGGAAGGGGCAGTAAAGGGGTGCAGTGAGAGAAAATAAAGCCTTCTCACAGTTTTCTGCTGGGCAAGAAGGGCAAGTGGAGGGAAGAGCTCTGGAGAATGAGGCCTCACCAGGGCATGGTCATCTGAGCAAAGGCCACTCGGCTCTTCTGGCCCCCAGACAAGCTGGCGACAGGGCGCATGGCCAGTTCTCCGGAGATGCCATACCGACCCAGCTGGTGGCGGTACTCTTCCTCAGGCCTCCCTAGAAAGGACGCCTCGGGTCAGGTGGGTGCTCGGCCCACTCCCTCCCTGTGCACCCCAGCCGCACCTCCAAGTCCCCATGTCCTTCCACGTACGCTCGGGAGGGCTGTTCTGCACTCATCCAAGGCTGGCCTGGATGCAGGGGTCAGCCTCAGCCCTCTTCCACTCAAATCCCCAACTCACCAGGAAACTTGCGTGCCAGTAGCTCCACAGCACTGACGTTTAGGTCCAGCTGCTCCACATGGTGCTGGCTGAAATAGCCAATCTTCAGATTCCTGCAGGCAGAAGCCCAGGTGGAAAAGCAGACAAAAGGCAATGGCCGTGAAGGAGGGAAGGCTGCATGGGTGCCTGGAAGCATGCTGGCAGGGGCCTTGCCCTAGAAGCATGCTCAGGGAGTGGGGAGGTTTGCCTTGGAAGCATGCTCAGGGCTCAGGGGTGGGGGGATGTTGCCTTAGAAGCACACTCATGGGGCAGGTGTGGGGGGCCTTGACCTGGAAGCATGCTCAGGGATTGATGAGGGGCTTGCCTGTGAGCGTGTCTGATGCCCCGAATAGGTGCCAGGTCCCCCATAAGCAGCTTCAGCATGGTAGACTTCCCGGCCCCATTCTCTCCAACCTTAAGAAATGTGAACACTTTATACAGTGCATGCCAGAAAAATCAATACCGAATGTTCTCACTCATACATGGGCGCTAAAAAATGCTGAGCTCATAGAAATAGAGAGTAGAGTTGTGGTTACTAGAGGCTGGGAAAGGTAAGGGGAGGAGGGGAATTGAGAGAGGGATTTGGGAGAGGCTGGTTAACCAAAACAAAATTGCAGCTAGACAGGAGGGATGGAGGAGAAGGTCCTGGGTTCCACAGCACAGAACGCTACGGTTCACAATGACTTACGCACATTTTCAGAAAGCTCCAAGGTTCTGAATGTTCCCAACACCAAGTGATCATGTTTATTGTAAATATGCTTCTAACCCTGATTTGACCATTACACATTGTATACGTATCTGGAAATATCTCTGTACCCAAAAATACGTACAATTATGTATCAATAAAAAGAAAAAGAGTGCCGCTGTGTGTAACACAGAAGGGAAGGAAATTAGAAGGGGTCCCAGGCAGTCTCCAGTCCCAGTGACTCCTTCGACAGCCAAAAAAATACTTTTAAGAACTCCAGCGGGGTGCAGTGGCTCCTGCCCATAATCCCAGCACTTTGGGAGACTGAGGCCGGTGGATCATTTGAGGTCAGGAGTTTGAGACGAGCCTGGCCAACATGGTGAAACCCCGTCTCTACTAAAAATACAAAAATTAGCCAGGCGTGGTGGTGGGAACCTGTAATCTCAACTGCTTGGGAGGTTGAGGCAGGAGAATTGCTTGAACCCAGGAGGCGAAGGTTGCAGTGAGCTGAGATTGTGCCACTGCACTCCAGCCTGGGCGACAGAGTGGGAAGCTGTCTCAAAACAAAACAAAACAAAACGCCACCAAAACCTCTACAGAAAAATACATACACTAATACACTAAGGGGAGCAGTACTTGAGTATCTGCTAAGTGCAGGGGATTCACTTCTCCCACGAACCAAGTGACGTAGATGTCAGCTCCATCTTAATGATTAGGAAGCTGCTTGGAAACCAAGCTAGGGAATGGCAGAGTCAAGATCTGCAGTCTGACCCCGAAGCCCATGCTCTCTCCATATGTCTCAAGGTTTAGAACACTCAGAACCAAGACCAATAAGGTAAAGCATGGCTTTAAGTTTTCATAAAACATGATACACTAGGTTTTCCTCCCTGAAGAGCAGCACTGTGCCGCCAGAGAACAGGGCCACTGTAAGTCCAGCAAAGTCCTTAGCCTGGGCCCTCACTCCTGTTCCACGGACCTCGTCCCTTTACAGCCTGAGGAGCTGGGCCAGTCCACACCACACACTCAGACAGGAGAATCCCAGCTTATGGCCCAGAGAAACAGCAGCCTTACCACACAGATGCGGGACTCGAGATCAGCAGACACGGAGAGGCGACTGAAGATGACGTGCTTCGGATCATAGTAGAAATCCACCTCATCTAGCTGCAGAATTGGCGGCGAGAACTTCTCAAACCCATCGGGGAACCTGCAGGAGATAGGGGTGACGATGTGGAGCAGCCAGAAGGAAGCAATTCCCCACCAGCCCCACCAGCCCAGCGCTTACTTCATTACCACCTCTGATTCCTTGTCCACAGGCTTCAGCTCAGGTCTGGGGGCAGAGACGAGGTAGACTAGATTTATAACTTAAAAAATAACTTCCTGCACAACTAATGTATGTTCAGAGAAAACTCAGGGCTTCTACTCCTACCACTCAGATATTGTTACTTTAGAGTACATTCTTCTCGTTTACTATATACTAAAAAATAGAACCAGGCTTTTATGACTTTTTACCCAGTTAGTATACTGTGGTGTATTTACATGTGGCAAACATCTAAGCCTTATGATTTTAAGCTTCCTGCCAGCAATTATAGAAAGGGCACTTCAAGACTGAAATCCCAATGCACATTACCATTAGTTATTAAGAAAATGCAAATCGAAACCACAATGAGCTATCTCGTCACAACCATTAGGATGGCTAAAACTACAAAGACAGTAACAGTGTTGGCAAGGACATGGAGAAATTGGAACTCTCAATTCCTTGTTGGTAGAAATGAAAAATGATGTCATTGTGGCAGGGCGCAGTGGCTCACGCCTGTAATCCCAGCACTTTGGGAGGCCAAGGCGGGTGGATCACGAGGTCAAGAGATTGAGACCATCCTGGTCAACATGGTGAAACCCCGTCTCTACTAAAAATACAAAAATTAGCCAGGCATAGTGGCGCGAGCCTGTAATCCCAGCTACTCAGGAGGCTGAGGCAGGAGAATTGCCTGAACCCAGGAGGCAGAGGTTGCAGTGAGCCGAGATCGTGCCATTGCACTCCAGTCTGGGTAACAACAGCGAAACTCCGTCTCAAAAAAAAAAAAAGAAAAAGAAAAATGATGTCGTTGCTTTAGAAAAGTTGGCAGTTCCTCAAAACATTAAATGTGGAATTACCATGTAACCCAGCAATTCCGCACCTACATACACACCTAAGCAAGTTGAAAATGTGTCCACACAAAAATGCCTACACCAACGTTCACATCATTCACAATAACCCCACATTATTCATAATAACCAAAATGGAAACAACCAAATGTCCCCTAATGACTCAATAAACAAAATGTTGTGGATATTATTCAGCTACAAGAAGAAATGAAGTACTGACACACGCTACAACATGGATGAACCGCAAACATGCTGGGTGAAAGAAGCCAGACACAAAGGTTAATATCCTATGATTCCATTGATAGGAAACGCCCAGAATAAGCAGAGACATAGAAACAGTAAATTAGTAGTTGCTATGTGCTAGTCAAGATTAGCCCTCTAAGGACAGTGTGGAATACTCTGCTTCCCAGCAGAGGAGGAAGTCAAAGGTGGCTTCTAGCAAAGGGGAAAGCTAGAATGGTCAGGCAAAGGGTGGCCCACAGATGAGAGAAGAGATGAAGAGAACCGGAGTCAGGGTCTGGCCAAGGCCACTGTACTCACAGCTTCTCCAGCATCTTGAGTTTACTCTGCACTTGAGAGGCTCTGTTGGCATTGTAGCGAAACCGGTCAATGAAAACCTGCAGGGGAGGAGTGCAGGCATTGGTGAAACTCCCTCACTATCCCCTGCTCCGGAACGCATGGGATGGGAGCCCCAGCCCTGCCGGGCCCCTCACCTGGATGTGCTGGCGATACTGCTGCTGGGCCTCATATTCCCGCTGCTGGTTGAGCAGCCGCTCCTGCTTGCTCTTGATGAAGGTCTCAAAGTCTCCCCGGTAACCATCTAGCCGCTGGCTATGCAGGTGGATGATGTCTGTGGCGATGGCATTCAGGAAGTTGCGGTCGTGAGAGACGACCAGGATTGTGGAGGGCCATGTCTGAGGGGTCACAGGACGGCAGGTCCAGTTTGGGAGGGCAGTCAGTTCTAAGGCCCCCATGTATCTTGGAGGCTGACTTTCCCCCACCCACTCCAGCACCCACAGGCACTCACCTGCAGGTAATTCTCCAGCCACAGGATGGCCCTGACATCCAGCATGTTTGTAGGTTCTGGAGAAGTAGGGGAGCACACACTTAGGAATGCAGGGCTGGAGAACTAGGAACTTGGATGCTACCACCCCTGCCCATCCTAAAGCCTGGGTGCCCCATTTCAAACTCACCATCTAACAGCAGCAGATCTGGCCTATGAAAAAGAATACATGGCATGAGGGTTTAGGGCAGCAACTCACTGCCACCTGCCAAAAGCTAAGACCAATCTTCCACAGGGCTCCATACACTGGCCCAGAAGACTCACCTAGCAAACAGGGCCCGGGCCAGGGCCAGCCTCATCCTCCAGCCACCCGAGAACTCCCTAAAGAATGATGGGGCCACATTAGGGGTGGGTGTTCATCAGGTCAGAAAGGGGCTGAGTCAACAGGGTTCAAAGCCAAGAATGGCAAGGGTCACTCACCGGGTAGGCTGCTGCTGCATTTTAGGGGTAAAGCCAAGCCCAGCGAGAATGACTGATGCCCTAGGAGGGAAGAAACTGAAGAAGTCAAGTGGAACAGTCCACAGAAGGGAAAGGAAATCTGGAGGGAGGGGAGTTTGATATACCTGGCAGGTGCCTTGTCAGCCTCAATCTCCTCCAGTTTGGCATAGATTTCTGCCAGTTCTGCAGCTTCAGAGCCCTCCACCCTGGAGGGAGGAGAAACAGCAAATGGCCTAAGTGGGGGCAGTCTAGGAGGATGTCCTGTGCCCTATACAGCTGGAAAGAGGCCACTGGCTACAAGAGGAAGAGAATAGAGGAAGGATCTGCTCAAGGGAATGAGGGCAATGGGCACTGTGGAAAGAACAAGGGCTGCTGAGTGCCAGAGTGCCAAGTTCTAAGCTCTGTTGATTACTAGTATGCACATGCAAATGGTGGATTATTCCAGCAGGGCAGGCACTCTGTGAGGGCCAGCAGCTGCTAGTTACTCTCTAGCCTGAAGCCCTCACCTGCCAGCAGCAATCTGGGTGCTGAGTTCCTGCTCCCGCCGTAACAGGCTCTCCCGCACACTGTCACTCTCCAGCACACTCTGTAGGGCAGGGGTGTCATCTCCAGCAACCTCTTGCTCAACGTGCAGCAGGGAAATGTGGGCTGGAACCCGGAGACTCCGGGTGGCCAGCATCTTCAGTAACGTGGTCTTCCCCAGCCCATTCCGCCCCACCAGCCCATAACGGCGGCCCCATGCCAGGTTCACATCAGCTCCAGCCAGCAGTACTCTGCAGGGGTGGAGAAAGGAGACCAAAGATGCTCTAAAAACAGGTGCACAGAAAGTTAACGATAAACCTAACATTGTTTGTAGCCCCATTTCATCTCTCTAAATTTTCCCCTAATTAGAAAAAGAAAGCCAAGTCCCGCCCCCACGATTCCCTCACCTGTCCCCGAAGGACACATCGAAGTTCTCAATTCGCACATCATAGGATTTGTTCTTGCCAGATGATTCCAATCGACTCTCCTTTCTGCTGCCTGCCTGGCTAGCTGATGCCTCTTCTAAGACTCTTTAAAGGGAGAAATGGACAGCTCTTAGTGCTCCCCACCAGTCCAGGCAGACACTACTCTGCTCTCTTCTGAGCCATGCTTTCTCCACTCACAGAGGGTTGCTGGTCTTGAGCATGTCCTTCTCTGACCGCTTCTCCTGCTTTGCCTTAAGTCGAGCCTCAGCCTTCTCAAGCTTCTTTGCATTCACTGTCTAAGGATCCAAACACATTGACTTCACTCTAGGGTGTAGGCTCAGTAAGGAACCCGAAGAGAGAACACCTCAAGTAAACCCTCTTAACTTACCCAAGATGAACGGACTCAAAGGCTCAGGGAAAGACACAGTCAGAAATCCCCCCAAAAGATCCTCCAATTAGACAGTCCATTCCCAACCCCATCACACACTCCCTCCCTTGCTTCCTCCTCCTCACCGAGGACTGTTCCCTCTTTAGCAGTCCTGGAAGTTTGGTTCCACAGTCTGTAAGCGATAAGAAAAGCAGTCACCTTCTCCCTGAGGGAAGGGAAACTAACACTTTGAGTGACTAATATGAACCAGGCACAGACACAGACGTTTTCTACAAAGCTTTATAATCCTGGAGATAGACGGCTATTATCTTCCCTGCACTTAAAAAACATAAACAAACAAACCTCACGTAAAAGAATACAGAAGCATAGGAGGGGGTGGGGACAGATAACCAACTCTAAAAAGATCATGCAGCTGGTTAGTAAGCTGGAAAATGGGCGAGTGAAACCAAGTCTGTCCAGTTCCAGGCTCCTATGCTTCCTACCATACCCAAGGGCTAGGAGAACCCTCCAACAACAGCCTCCCCCCGACCATGGACTCTTCTGCCCTCGGTAAGGACATCAACTAGCTCCTACAACCCTGTCCTGTGGAAAAGACGCAGTAGGAGCTCTAAGCTGCAGGGGGCAGATGGGTAGGGGCAGAGAAAAGGACAGAGGGCAGTTAGTTGAATCTCCCCTCACTCTCACCGTAGTTCTCCGTTATCTTTGACAACTGGATGGGGGCGTCCAGTAGCACCTGGCTATTTCCCTGGCTCTGTGGTTCAGCCCTATGTAGGTAGGGAGAGAAAGCGCAAAGTTAGCAGTTGAGGGAAAAGCTCTACGGCCGTCAGACCTTCTTCCCCCACCTCTTGTCTCCGGACCGTTCGCCCTCCCTTCGCCCCCATCAACCCCTACTGCCCGGCACATACAGGCGCAGAGTGTTGTACATGCGCTGGCACACGGCCCTGATGCCCGCGTCATCCTTGCTGTCCCCGGACACCTCTTGCAATAGTTCCCCCACAGCTTCCACCAGGTCATCCACAGACTCAAAGTCCGAGCTGCCGCTGTGCAAGACGCCTGCGCAGGGCGTGGCAGAACGAGGAAGGTATCAGGTAGGGAGGACACACAAGCAGTTTCCCCAAACAGCGGCCCCAGTCCAGGCTCCAGACCCAACCGGCCCCCGGGACAAGAGGTCACGCCGAGGAGAGGCCTGGCAACAGTCCCCGGCACGACGCTCGCTTAGGCTTTCCCCCGGCCTCCACTTTGGTGTCCTCAGCCAGCTGATTCAGTTCTGCTTACCCGTCACGTAGTCGAAGACCTGTCCGTCAATTTCGGGGAACTCGCTCCGCAGGATTTCGGCGCAAGTCGCCATGTTCCAGTTGAGAACCCGTCCGCGCAGTCGCTGTGAGCCCCTGGCCTAGGCCCGCCCCCGGCCCTGTCCCCGAAATCTCGCCCCTCCTTGCAAGGCGCATGCGTAGCGGTGATACAAGAAAGGAGCGGAGTGCAAGGAGCCCGGTGGGCGGGGCGAGCGGGGCCCAGAGGAGAGGCACTGAGTCTGCGCTGGGCCGCCCTCTCTGCGCGTGCGCAACTCTTTTCCGGCTTACAGATTAGCCACACAGGCGGTTCTCGCTGCCTTCTGGAAGGTGGAGTTCCAGGAGCGGCGGGTGGGGCGGGGGCTGAGTGCTCAAGATTTATCTGGGCGCGAGGCACTGGTGGTCTGGCAGGTGGGAGCCTCCCAAGAGACCAGCGGCTGATAACGCACTTTGGCTTTGCCGGGTTTTATGCGCTCTCTCGAGGCGCGTCTGCTGTGGCTGCGCACTCAGCCAAGCCCATTTTGGAGCCCTCCCAGAGCTGCTGATTCACCCTCGTCTCTGACTCTGAGCGCTGAGCTCCCGCTCCCGCTCCCGCAGTAACAGGTCCTTCCGCACATTGTCACTCTCCAGCAAACCCCGCCACCTCAGTGCTTTGCTTTCGCGGGCCCCCGGATCCTACGGGCTCCTCAGCCTGGTGGTCAGCGCCACCTGCCTGCCCGCCGCGACCTGTCTTCATACTTCATAATTGAGCTGACCTTTGCGAATTAAGCCCATTCAGTTCTTCCACCACCCCAAGGCACGACCAAATCCACCGCCAAAGGGCAAGAAAACCAGGACAACGTGGCTTGTATAAATTCACTGGTATTTATTCTCTACCTACCCCCAAAGCCGACTTCTTCGCACCCTGAATCTCAGTAAATGCCAGTAAAAGGCTACTTCCTTTCACCGATTCCCTCAGGAAGCTAGGAATTTCCTCCAAGATGACGTTATTGCTGTATATTTAACGTGAAAATTCCTCCAATCGGCCCCAAAAGTGGCACCCAAAATTACATTACCACCCATTCATCCCTTTGGATTAAAAACATTGCCATCAGCCGGGCCCAGTGGCTCACACCAGCAATCCCAGCACTTTGGGAGGCCGAGGAGTGCTGATCACCTGAGGTCAGGAGTTTTGAGACCAGCCTTACCAACATGGAGAAATACCGTCTCTACTAAAAATACAAAATTAGCAGGGCATGGTGGAGCATGCTTGTAATCCCAGCTACTCAGAAGGCTAAGGCAGGAGAATCGCTTGAACCTGGGAGGTGGAGGTTGGGGTGAGCGGAGACCGCGCCATTGCACTCCAGCCTGGGCAACAATTAACTCCGCGTCAAAAAAAAAAACAACAAAACACCTGCCATCATGAGGAATCAATCAATCCTGATGGTTAACCATTTTACAGGAAATACAGGTAAAGAGGATTATGTTAAGTGACTTCATGGGGACAACTGGCAAATTCTGATGGGAGGAACTACAGATCTCTGGTTTCTTTGACAAAATTGCAAGACCTAAAGGGAAACATCGATTTTAAAATTTGAGCGTGATCTCGGCTCACCACAACCTCCGCCTCCTAGGTTCAAGTGATTCTCCTGCCTCAGCCTCCTGAGTAGCTGGGATTACAGGCATATGCCACCATGCCCGGCTAATTTTGTACTTTTAGTAAAGATGGGATTTCTCCATGTTGGTCAGGCTGGTCTCGAATTCACGGCCTCAGGTAATCGTTGCTCCTCAGCCTCCCAAAGTGCTAGGATTACAGGCATGAGCCACCGCGCCTGGCCCATTACATTATTCTACTTCAGTTTATGTTTGAAATTTTCTCTAGTAGATTTTTCAAGTGTAAAAAAGCTGAAACTAAGTAAGGGAAAACCGCTGAAGGCAAACTTGCTCTTTTATCTGCCCCAACACAACAGCAGGATCTGGGACATTCCCCAAGGGCACTTTTGTAAAATGCACTGCCGGGGAGGGGGAGAAACAAGCCTTTCCTCCTGCCACCCACTCAGCAAGATTTGGGAAGGCTGGGTAAATGATGGAATTAAGAGGTCAGTTTCTCAGGATGGCTATAAGGCCAAATACAAACTTTGCTTCATCTATACTTAATCTAATTAGAGAACATCTGCCTAAGAATTAGAGAAAGAGCTGGGTGCTGTGGTGGCGCACGCCTGTGATCCTAGCTACTCCGGAGGCCGAGGCAAGTAAGATCTCTTGAGCCTAGGAGTCTGGTGACCAGGGGGAACAAAAAGGAGCTAGGGAAATAATCTATCCCCAGGTTACTGGGGCCCACTGGGGCTGCTTGCCCTTGAGGCTTTCTTGTACGGGCCAGGAAACCTGGGCCCACAACCTACAAGAATAAGGGCTTGGATGGCCCAGGAGGGGCCTGACTGGGACAAGACAAGGAAAGCGCCTTTAGAGTACTCGGAACAGAAAACTGTGGGAAGAGCAGTGCCACCAGCCCCTCCCCACCTAGCTCCCACGTCAACACAGCCAACAACTCCACTCCACAGAGTTTATTGGGTCTGTAACTGGACGAAGTCACACTGTACAAAGTGAAGCTCACACTATCCCAAAGCAGAGTGGGACTGGGGGCTGGGGTCCGTTACTGGCCTTCGGGGGAGCTCCGAGTGAGGGGCAGCCAACCCTCCCACTCCAGAGGTGTGGCCACAAGGGTGGGAAGGAAAAGGAACCCACCTGGCTTTGGTCACAGAACTCAGAGCCTGGCACTAGACCAGGACAGACAGGTGGCTGGGAGGGCAGGAACCTCAGCCACCCTGCCCAGGGAGCCTGGGGAGCCCAGGTACTGCTCCACCAGTCCCACTTGCAATGTGCTTGGCCCAGACCTAGACTCGGGGGCTGGTGCAAAGGGAAGGCAGCAAAGCAGGAGGGAGGAGACACTGACATGTGGTAGAGGGGAGGGAGTGGCACCTGGACCTGTGGAGGAGGGTGGGTGGGGACGTGGGCTAGCAGCCTCGTGGCAGCTAGCAGCGAGTTTCATAAATGCCGCTTCGGCCAATGTATCGCACCCATTTGATGACATCGTGGTCGCTGTAGTTCAGCTTCGGTTCAAACACCTTCAAGTAGCGCACCTTGAGGCCAGAGGGTGCAAATGGCACCTGGGCAAGGACAGCTCGTTAGAAATGTGGCCTTCCTCTTACAGCCGCTCTCCTCTGGAAAGTCCCATTGCCCTGCCCTACTTCATCTCCACTACAGGTGTTTGAATGGCTGCGGCCCTGAAAGCAGCTCGGGGGTGAGGGACCTCTAAGAGGTGACTGGAGAAGAAAGCCCTGCCTACGACACCTTGAATCAGTTCCTTTCACAGCAGGAGACAGCAACCGAAGAGTTGCTTTAGAATATACTTATCCTGCTCAATATTATGGACTCAAAAATAAGGCGGAGAAAATGATGACTACCATTTGTAAAACAAAGTCAGCCCATTGTTCTGTCTGCAAGTAAACTTTGTGTCTCACCTGACATTTAAACAATCTAAGTTTTTCAAAAGAACTGTGTTAGAACAAGCCAAGAGAAGTAAAAGATTTTCCTCACTCTGAATAGTAATTTCTGCGAAGAGGCTTGAAGGGGAAGGATGGATTTATGAATTAAAGCCACTTCTTTCTAGGCCTCAAGTTTCCTCACCTCTAAGATGTTTATCAAAATGATCTCTAAGATTTTCCAGCATACCCCGGCATGACTCTAGGTCCCTCCTCTGCCATACCTCAAAGTTCATGGAAATTGGGGGTCGAGCCCATTTCTTCTTGTCGTTGGTAGGCAGAAGCTCAATCTCTGCGCTGATCTGCGATTCCTTCATACCTGCCATGCGCTTGATCCTGGGAACACAGGGACAGTGGGCAGCCTGTTGTAGTGTGGAGGAGTTTCAAGGGCAGTTGCCCATTTTAAGCAAAGAGAGAACCCAGGAGGTGCCAGGACAAGGAGAGGTGGTCAGGGCCCTGAAAACCACTTGCTAGGGAGCCTTGGGTCTACTCCTTTAGGACAGGATGCAGTTTCTGCTTAGACACTGGGGCACACTGTCTTCTGCTGTCTGCCTCACAGATATATTACAGGGGCAAGTAGGGAAACGCTGAAGCATCTTAAAAAACAAGCACATGCATGAACCCCAATGCAGGCGTGTATGTACATACTCACACAGAGGTATAAGGGCTGACAGTACAAGCCGAGGCTCCTAGAACAGCAAACAGGCACACTCCCCCTACCCCTCATGCAGAAGATCAAAGATGAAACAAGAAGGTGCACTGCCATCTCGAGCCCTGCTGTGGCCTAATGAAGGAAAGACTCACTTCCATACGATGGCGTTCTCGCTGGCCTTGTACTTGGCCTTCCCCTTCATGCAGATCACCTGCACCCCACTTGTGTTCAGGGGGGTTGGGATCCTCACCTAGAAGTGACACACCTGTCAGGGAGCTCTGTCAAGCTGTGATATCAGCTGCCTTTATGCCTAGGGACAAGTTCTTCCTCCTCCCAGAGCCCCTTGTCCTCACCTCAATCTTCTGAGCCAGCAGTGAGGGTTTAAAGTTGGACTTGATGACCACCTTGACCTCCAGTTTGGTGCGTCCCACTTCTCGCACTAGCGGGATGACCCGGAAAGGAAGGATGATGTCCTTGGTTGTGCGATACCTAAGGGATGGGAAGCAAGGTCACCAAAGAGCCTGATGTACTTCCTCTCCTCAATCTCTGCCAGCAGCACTCGCTGCCTCCTCCCACCCCAGTGGCACCTCATAAGCTCAAACTCTCCATCTGGCGGGATGAAGCTGATGCTGCGTTCAGAGTCAAACTTGCTGAGTCGTACACACTGGTGGAAGGTGCAGTCATCAATGGCAATTGATTGCTTCCCGCTATAGGCAGGGGCAGAGGAGGAGGTTTTATTGGTATAGGAGACTGACAGGTGACAGGCTGGCAGACCACTCCACCCCAGGCTAGCACCAGAGACTATGAAAAGCTGCTAGAATGCAGCTTTCTGACATAGAGGTCTGCCCCAGAGTTTGGGATGAGAGGGAAGCTTGCAAGCTCATTCTCTCCAGAGAGCCCTGCTGTTCGGGACTGGGGTGTTTCAGGCACACAGGACAGAGGCTGTCAGTATGTACAGAAGAGACCTTGGTCCTAGGGACCAAACAAAGGGGCTTGCTCTCTGAGGACAATTCTCTCATCTCTCTTAGCACTAATGTCAAGAGCAAATAGCCAGGCTTACCACTGGGAACAGAGAGTTTACAATTATGGTGGGAATGAAGTTCTGAAGAAACTTGGGTTCACTAGACCCCACTGAGCCCGCAGGACACCCCTTCCCGCCAGCTCCCTGCCTCAGGTACCTCTTGCTTGTTTCATCAGCTGTGCCTTTGCCCTGTTTTTCAATGACGATCTTGTCATTCATCCCAAATTTGCATTCAGGCATCCCACTCAGGTAGCTCTTCATCACCACCCGGCCCGACACATGGGCGCTCAGCACCTGCCCTGGTGATGAACAGACAAATGGGGAGCAGCAGAGTCAGGCAGGCAGGCCCAGGATCCTGCCCTGGCCTCCTCCTGCTTTATCATGAAAGGGACCTCACCTTGTGGGGACATGAGCAGGTTCACACTCTCCAGCACGTCCAGGAAGAGCTCATTCCGGCGATACTTGATACCCTCTCGCCGCCAGCCGATTTGCCCCGTCACCTGGCTGGTGATCTGTGAC